GTCCAAAAAATCGAAAGGGTCCCAACGAGATCTTTGCGCCGTACAACGTAACTCGTCGCGCTGATTCCGAATATGTAAAAATCCTTAGGTACTCTAGTCTAGAAAAAAACCATCAAATTTTGATATGTTACCTTTAAGTGGCGTCAGATGTTACCATTCTACTGCGGACGGTCGGACGGACATTTCGTTTGTATGACCCAAGACTTTCAGCCAAGGGAAGATAGTTCGCGATTTCATTAAGGTTTGATAAAAATCTGCCTGACACCAGTATCGTTCACATTAAAAAGAAGCTAAGGATAATTAGTGGTTACGTACTGTTCTATTCGAATGAAGCAGCTTTTATGAGCTCCATCGCAAACATCAGCAATGAAAAGATTATTGTTATTCTTTCGTATGATGATGTCGAACACATATTACTCATGTTTCATGATATTGATAAAATCGCTTCAATATTCCTATTAGACGGGAAAGCAAATGGTAGTGACGACCAAATGTTAAAGACTAAATATTTTAAAATTATTGATATTTGCACGAACGAGAAATCTCTGCTAACTACTATTATTCACTATCAAAAGTTGTTAGTATCCACTAGACGAAATGTCGATTTTGTACTATTTAATGCAATAAATTATTTTAAGACGTAGTCCGAAAATAGTGTACGCAGTTTAATTGAAGAGGCAGTGTCATTTTTACGGTATCAATTACTCAAAGATGTATTATTGCGTATGCCTTCATCAGCTAAATCAAAAGAAGAAATGTTGTATGCGTGTCGCCAATACTATCAGAGCGATAAGTGTACGTTATCAGAGACAGATAAATTTGAATTGACCTATTGAAAAGATATATTCGAGCCGATTTTGTGGTATACAAAAGACAATTTTGCGCATAAATTGAATAAAGCTCTGCGAACACAAGACGTACAGCTACTTTATGAATTTCGATTTTTCATTGCCGATCTTTGTCGAGCACTTGAAAACGCCTGTCGTCCACGCACCTCATTGTGGCGTATCGTGGCTCTGTACTATCGCATAATGAGCTGGAGAAGCTAAAAGATTCTGTTGGTAGCTTAATTTCGTTCGATAGCTTTTGCTCAGCTAGTAAAAACGAAAATATTGCCAAAGTATTTGCTGGTACTGATGAATATTCGGTTATATTTGAAATTTATGTTGATCCAACGTTAAAGATAGTGGTTATGATGGATCTTGGCGGAAGAAGAAATTCTTTTGGATATGGGCACTGTGTTTTGTGTTGTCAACGTGAACCAAAATCAAGGTGGCAAAACTTGGGTTGTTGAACTAACAGCGACAAATGAAGGGAGTGCAACGCTTAAAAAGTATAAAGAGTTTAGTGAATCTGTCATGTCAGAAACCGGCCCGCAGATCATGTTTGGAAGGCTTCAGATTGATATGGGTCAATACGGAAAAGCGTTAAAATATTACGAAAGCCTATTAGGTGAAAATGTTGAAAATAATTTAGATAGCATGTATTATCACATCGGTCGGATTTATTTTTGGAAGGAGCAGTATGATGCACCCAAGGAAATTTTGAAAAAGCTTTGAGTATACAGCAAACATCGGCTAATGCGGCCGTATGAGTTCGCGCAGGTCAAACGTTATATGGTATGGCTAGTACTGAGTATAAGAAAACAAGCACAAATGATTTCGAAAAACTGCAGAAGATTGTGGAGTTTTACAAAGATCACTCCATAAACGAACATCCGATAGTGGCTGATATTATAACTGATATTGCGCATGCCTGTAACAACTTAAACAAACCCGATGATGCTCTAGGTTTCCGTAAACAAGCTTTAGACATGAATTTAAAACTATTGCCGCCCAGTCATCCAAACACTGCTCATTCCTGTCATGTGTTGGGAAATATTTACCATCAACAACAAGATTACTTTAAAGCACTGCAAACACACGAGCAAGCGTTAGCTATGTATCGATTCATTTTACCGGAAAGTCATCCGTTCATAGCTCATAGTTTGAATAGCATTGGTAATGTTTATCGTTGTCAAGGAGAATATAACAAAGCGCTTAAACTCCATACCCAAGCATTGAATATCCGTCTAGCTACACTTCCATCGATACATCCGGACATTGTCCGCAGCTACCACAATATTGCTATTATACATAAAAAAGTTTCTCAGTATGAACAGGCCATCGCCTTTTGCGAAGCTGCTCAAGAGATACGAAAACAAAGTTTAGTACCACAGTATATGGACATCAAAAATGGAGAAAAGCTTATATTTCACTTAAGAAAAAAGATGTCAACACTGAACGTAAAATAAATTTTACAGATGTCGAACGTCCACACATTTAAAAATAGACAGCTGCCTCGGCGAGTTGCCTCTAATAAATAACGGATATTTTATGCACATTGTCGCCTCCGACTCAGATTTGTTTCAAATGCATCGAACTTTTGGACAGAATGCAAAAGTTGAAGTACTCGTTTTCTACTGAATTACTTCTTTTCAGCGCTTTTTCTGATTTTATTAGTCCATGCGGTGTCTAACACTTCTCTAGAAATCGATTTTATCTCATTTCTTAAAATATAATTTCAATATATAATTAAAAAATAATATTAAAAATATAATTTATGTAATCGAAGTGTTCATCTATTCTATGTTTAATCACTTGAATTGTATCATTAGGACGGTAATCTAATGGCAAAACTTTATTCATCGTTGTTTTTATTAACACATACTTCAATGGAAGCAATGATGGTCGAAGATAGACTGTTCCACGAGAACAATAATCATCTTCTTCGAGTAATTGCACAGTGGGGATTTTTCCATAAAGCAGACGGACATCTGTTTTTTTGAGTTAAAAATTGATTGTTTCCACATAATATGATAACATTATGCGTCAGATATTAACAAAAGTAGAAAACTCTAATTCGAAAAAAATTCCTTACGAGTACCATTGACCTGAATTTTTGTAAAAAGATATTTTATTTGTAAACTTAACAAATTATACATCATTCGATGCAGTTTTTCATGCTGATTCCAAGTATAAAAGTGTTTCTCGGCTGAGGAAAATGTAAAATATCTGGAAAACCGACGGTTTTCTAGAAAATCTAGATCTCGAGCTAGGAGAAAAACTACATAAAACTGGTATCACACAGATTCAGGCGATGTCGATGCACTTTGTATGAAGTTTTCAACGAATTTGGAGCTTCGGAAAATTTCAGAAACTCATTACACTGAATATAACTGTTGGAAAAGTCGCCTCGTTTGAAAAAAAATCTTCTTCGCTAAAAGACTTAATCTGAGACGAACTTTTTTGACCAATAGATAGCTAGAAGCATCCTGATTCCAAACAACATGCTTCAAAAATTTAAGTGTAATCCAGTTCAATAAAAGATTGATTTTACACAGAGGTCACGAATATACGAGGTATTTTTTCTTCAACATTTTTTACCTCCCAAATTCCTCGTTCGAAACAAAAAATTTTACGCCATTATATAGCCCATCTATCCAAGTATATTTACCACTATTTTGATTTTAAAAAACTGCATCTTGGTATTTCCATTCGTAGTATTTCCATTAGTATACCACACCTTACATGAAGGTGTGATGCAAACGTGGAGACATATCTCATTCGATAGAGAATTCAATTCTGAACAAAAAAACAAGAAATATTTAAAAAATTTTTAAACGTTGACGCGGGGTCCAAAATGTCGGTCGAAACATGGAGGTTTTAACCCTTTACCCCCCATAGCGGTGCCAGAAGAGCCACTGACCAAATAACTTTATTAATGAAGTACTAGCCCCCTAGTATGCCAATGGTGCGGTCTGCTCCCCCGAATGTCCTGGCCCTAGAGTAGGGCGGTTTGATTGATCTC